TAATTGTGATCCGTGTTTACAAGGCGCTTGACTGATGTGTGCCAGTTAGAGCCAATCTATGCACAGTAAAACTAGTTTTCGAAATATTCGACAGTGCGTAATAATTATGAAGAAAAACCGCACGAAAAAAAGATGCAGGTAAACGTAATGACTTTGGTTTGCCTCGAAGTTTTCTGGAGCATTTTACCTCTGCAGAACGCTTGTGCTGAAACCTCACTCAGCATGTCGCAACGGCTGTCTGAAAAAAAACTAGTGCACGGCATATGAGGTCAAATTTTTTCACAGGAATTCTAAAGCTTTTCTGAAATCTGAAGTGATTTTTTCAGCAAAAATTAATACAGATTTACTGTAGTTCAAACCTATGCGGTGATCGGCAGTTGCATCTGCGGATTTTAATTGGTACGTTTGTCTGAAAAAAAATAGTGCACGGCCATGATGTCAAAATTTTTTACGGGAATTCTGAAGCTTTTCTGAAATCTAAAGCGATTTTTCCAGCGAAAATTATTACAGATTTAGTTCAAACCTAAGTGGTGATCGGCAGTTGCTTTTGCGGATGTTAATTGGTTTAAAATTACAGCCGGTTTATATACGGCCGACGATGTGTTGCAGATATTGCCAATAGCATAAAGGCTTCATAGAGCGAGGAAGCTTCATTCATGTTTTTAGCGGCGCAGCTCTCCACTGTAATTGCAGTGTCAAATTGCCGGCAGGTTTCACCTTTCTTGCTTCAGTTTCAGTGTCACGGAGCAAAATCTTTTTGCAAGCTTCCTCGCCGAAGCAACATTTTGTTCTCTTCTAATAGAAGGCCAGACGCCCATTCTGAAATTCTTAGACGATCGTTAGACCATTAATCACTTTTCTCGTCACTAATTGGCGGTTTTCGTACAAAAAAATATAACGGAATATTATCAGGATAATATCGCTACGACATCGTAGCTTCTTGTGAGTATGCAGAGCCCAGGTCATGCGAATAACAATCGTAGGTCAATAGTTTAGGATTCCACCTTGACGTGAACGCATTACGTGGGTAACAAACCGCAGACCGCAACAACAGAATAGCTCAGTGAAGGCAGTATTCATATGTCCCGAACCTGCCTTGAATGCAACTTAAATCTGGTTCAAATAAAGGCCTGTGGGTGCGGTGTATGATCCCTATTATCTTCAAACACAGCAGAATATGCATCCCAATTTCCCCATCCGCGGAATGGAATGTAAATTCTATATTTCTCGATTATATGTCTTCACTCGCAACCATCAGAAATGGTAAAAAAGTCAATGATATAATGCAAACACAAAAAATTACAAAAATCTAGCTCCGTGTTCTGCAATGAAACTGTTACACCACCACCCAGAACCTGTCAGAGAGCCATGGTGGCTTTTCCGAGCATGCCAGTGGTTATTAAACTTTTTCTGATCGAATACCGATTGTAGGTCTCGTATATACACTCGCGACATACCACCAGCTATACCACTGCGTACCAAGATTTAGGAATATTATCTGCTAAAATGAATCATTATTTGCACTATATATTAATTACTGAACTAAAATTGATAATTTTTATGAATTTTACTAATTTATTTTTTATTTACCACTGTTATATGTACCTGATGGGTGGCGCATGGCAACGTTAGCCACACGTCACATTATCTTGAGGTTAGCAGTAAACATTTTGAGTTTTACAAATAATTAGAAAACAACTAAAAGTACATAAAATAAAAAAAAATAATAATAATAAATAAAGAGTAACCGTTCATGACCACGAGAAAGTCAGGGTATAACTTCAAACACCTTTGCGTACTGCTATATTAGTGGCATGCGTAGCGCAGATTAGGCACCATTAGTATATGCACAATGTACTCGTATATGTAACGTATAGTCAACTTCCTCAATGATGACAAGTTGGCAGTCAAGACCTGCCAATTCTTCTTCACCTGCCAACAGTACAGGTCGAGAAGGCTAAAGGTGGCAACAGACACTAAAAAAACAAACGAACTGCGTGTTGCGCCCACTCAGACAAGGCTGAGTGGGGCCACTCAACCTGTGTGTTGGGCCCACTCTGAAAAGGCTGAGTGGGAAGCTTCATGAAATACATTTCTAAAAAAAACAAGTTAGATGACATCGCAGTGTGAGTGGCCCCACTCAGCCTTCGCAGTGTGCGCTAAGAGCTGCACTTTATCGAAAGCATTTAAAAAAAATTTATACAGCATTAATACATTAAATTACATCAAACTTTACAATATATATTTTCTTATGGCTGCTTTTTTCCTTCAGTATAGAATTTTTTTGATTTTAAAAACCTGATGTGCACACTCAAAAAAGTGGATGGCTCGCTGTACAAGCACTGATACGCCATTTTGCCTTGCCAAACTAAGTCAAGATGGCCTAAAAAATGCGTCGCGATTAGGACACATTCATACACATTACTGTGAGTGTTGTAGTTGTAGGGGGTCGGCTATCGAGTCATGCTCGGTCGAGCGAGCTTGCATGTCGTCGCGCCTCACTTCATATCTTGAGAGTTTCACTGAGAAATGCTCAGTATCTTGAGAGTTTCACTGAGAAATGCTCAGTATCTTGAGAGTTTCACCGAGAAATGCTCAGTATCTGTCTCTTATACACATCTAGATGTGTATAAGAGACAGCTCCTGCTGTGACCCACTTGTTGAGGTGGGCCCTGGTGCCCTCCTGTTGTGACCCACTTGTTGAGGTGGGCCCCCTCCTGTTGTGACCCACTTGTTGAGGTGGGCCCTGGTGCCCTCCTGTTGTGACTCACTTGTTGAGGTGGGCCCTGGTGCCCTCCTGTTGTGACCCACTTGTTGAGGTGGGCCCTGGTGCCCTACTGTTGTGACCAACTTGTTTAGGTGTGCCCTGCCCTCCTGTTGTGACCCACTTGTTGAGGTGGGGCTCGGACATTTTATTTTTATCGCACCATAACAATATTTAAAAACCGTCACATATTACTTTGAACTTCACTCGAGGTAATTACCTGTTTTATCTTCGCAGTACAATATTTTATACGCGGGAAAATACTATACATCACAAACGATCGGAGTACCCAGAAATTAAGTGTGGGCAACCGCAGAATTGCTGGCATTCCAGGGTGTGGATCAGGGCATGGCGGCCTGCAGCTAACTGGGTTAATGATGCTTGTATTACATACAGGCTGCACGAGTGAGTCAGTCAGCACTGAAAGAAGTCAGTGATCACTGAGTTAGTTATCAGCGATGTATATCAGGCATCACGGTCGAATATCAGCCATGACTGAGCCGGTCAGGACTTTCAGAGATCAGTCAACAATGGTGGAGGTCATTCATCAGTGTGAGAGATTAGTCATTACAGTCGGAAATCAGTTATCACTGACATCAACATCAGTCAGCACTGATGAAGTTCAGTCATCACTGACATCAGTCAGCACTGCCGAAGCGGAGGCTGCAGCGCGTTGTCTCCGGTGCTCCCAATAGCGCTGCACCGTTACACTGAACCGGTCCTGCCGCGGCCTACGCATCCTGTACAGCATCCTGCACTGCAGGGTGGCCGACGCTTCCGCACAGCCTTCATTTATTCATTTGTCCTACACTTCCGTGCAGGCTGCATCCCTCTCCTAAATCCTTAAAGATTAGCCTGTCGCTTTGATAGAAATCATTGTTCTTTAGGATTATTATTCGTCATCAAGTTTCTCAACCCGCTTCCACAGTCCGGATTCGTCGGAGGTACTTGGGAATGCAGTGCCTCTTGCGAGCGTAGCTCTGATAGGAATTAATTTGTTCAGAGATGTAAGTAATTTATACTTGAAACTGCCGCCTTAATTTGTATCAGATCTACATAAACGACGGCAGGTGCTGACAAATGTTTTCTTGCTTCAATAGGACGCGCGGTGGAAAATGTTTCGACGTCCCGCTTTCGTTTTGTGGGCACTTGGAGTCTGCTTTCCCTTAACAACCTTTGGTTGTTACCAACACAGTCAGTGTTTTGAGTTACCCTGGGTGACCCTTATGTTGTTGCGTGCAATCATCTGCACTGCGATTTTAGGATAGAGTAACTTTTATCTTGTGACAGGTAATCCTCCCATTCCTGAGTCGGTTAGTTTTAGTGCTTTTTTTGTATTTCTGATGTTGGGTGCAATTTTGTACCTCTGCTTTAATATCGTTACCCGGTCGCAGTTCTTATGACCGACAACGGGAATCTGTTAGATAACGTTTGAAAATTTGTACGAGTGGAAAAACTGCACCTTTTGAAGGAATAATTGGTAACTCTGAAAAAAACAGTGGTTTTCTAATCTAGGAAACCAATGGTTTTTTCTGAAGCTTCCACACATCCAGTTCCCAACCTCTCTCATAGGAACACATCGCAGCTCACTCTATTGAGACGTCAGGGCAAGTTACGAACACGTGTATAATGGTAAGTAAAATCGGCACTACCTTTGCAGTAAGGGAAAGCTTCATTGTGGGCTTGAATATGACGAGTTACTTGCGCTGTCGACACCGGCGTAGACAATGAGTGCTTAAGCTTGCACAAGACAATGAACGGCGGGCAAAAAGGAGCCACACAAAGGGACTTAATTTTCTGTCGTGGTGGCATAATGCCCGCATAGCGGAAGATATTTTTGCGGGTTTCCCAGTATTTTTTAGATGCGTTTCAGATACCATGTAGCCGTGTGTCTAACACATGTTCTTAGTGTACATTTTCATTCATATTAGAGATTACTTTTGCACGAATGCGTGCGATTTACGAGCATATATGTTTTGATTTGGTTGGCATGTTCTGAACCGCAAGTCTGCGTGTCTCAAAAATATTAAAAGAACTGGCGTCACTCAAATGCGTTGTTATTCTTGTAACCAAGTTTCGTGTTGGGCTGCCGTGTAATATGTCAACTATTAGGCAGTCCTGTAACCAAGTGCCGTGCCAGTCTCTCTTGTAGCCATGTACCGTGTAACCAAGTACCGTGTAACCATGTGCCGTGTAACCATGTGTCTTGTAACCATTTTTCTTGTGTCGTGCGCAGCGTCGTGCGCGCAGGACGAGTGCGTGAGCTGCGAGGTGTCCACGGGCCGCTGCCTGCGCTGCCTGCGCGCCATTCTTCCCTCGCGCCGCTGCGTTGCCTCCTGCCCAACGCACCTCAACCCTACCCTCGGGGCCCTCAACCCTACCCTCACTGCCCCAACCGCTGACAACCATGGCACCATCTGCTACCGTAAGTCACGACCATCCTTCGGAATGCCAATATCATATTGTTATCCCTCTGTGCTTAAGCGTGTCAACGGTTTAACGTTCGGTGGTTTCAACTCTGCCTGAAATAAGGTACTTAGTTATCTAACCTTGTCCCCTCTATCATTGTTTCCCTCTTCATTTTATCCTTGTTTCCCCTCTTTATCGTGCCATTGTTTTCCCTTTTTATCGCATCCTTGTTCCCTTCTTTATCGTATCCTTGTTTCCCTTCATTATTAATGTTTGGCAAGTGAGGGCAAAATATATTTTTTATGCATTAATATAATAGAAAATTTGATGACACTGACACAACGATGATAAATTACAAAAACACTTGATTGATATTCAACAGAAATTCAGTTATACCTAAAGTATCGAAAGTTTGATGTTATTGGTTAATACTTTTACAAAAGACTTGATTTTACATGAATGTTTACATATACATTTGAGTATAAATGAACGCTTGTCACACGTATCTCACGTGTTCCGAGTATGATGCACTGCACTCACGTATCCCACGATTCCCGCGTATCACGCACTTCTCTCACGTATCTTACGTGTCTTACGTGTTCCCGCGTATCACACACTTCTCTCACGTATCTCACGTGTCCCACGTGTTCCCGCGTATCACGCACTTCTCTCACGTATCTCACGTGTCCCACGTGTTCCCGAGTATCACGCACTTCTCTCACGTATCTAACGTATCTCACGTGTTCCCGCGTATCACACACTTCTCTCACGTATCTCACGTGTCCCACGTGTTCCGCGTATCACGCACTTCTCTCACGTATCTAACGTATCTCACGTGTTCCCGCGTATCACGCACTTCTCTCACGTATCTAACGTATCTCACGTGTTCCCGCGTATCACGCACTTCTCTCACGTATCTCACGTGTCCCACGTGTTCCGCGTATCACGCACTTCTCTCACGTATCTAACGTATCTCACGTGTTCCCGCGTATCACGCACTTCTCTCACGTATCTCACGTGTCCCACGTGTTCCGCGTATCACGCACTTCTCTCACGTATCTAACGTATCTCACGTGTTCCCGCGTATCACGCACTTCTCTCACGTATCTAACGTATCTCACGTGTTCCCGCGTATCACGCACTTCTCTCACGTATCTCACGTGTCCNAAGTCTTGTTCAATAGGTAATTAATAAATAGTATTAAAAATGAACTATTACGATAATTAGTTAATTAATAAATATTATTAATAATGAATCGTTACGATAATTATTTAATTAATAAATAACATTAATAATGAATTATTACAACAATTAGGTAATTAAAAAATATTATTAATAATGAATCATTACGATAATTAGTTAATTAAAAAATATTAATAATAATGAATTATTACGATAATAAGGTAATTAATAAATAATATTAATAATGAATTATTACGATAATTAATACAATATAACACTACAGACGCGGCAGTCGGAGCGCAGGAGCGCGCAGAGTTCCTGCGTCAGCTGACTGCGCTGCGTAAGGACGCAGGCCTCCTGCTGGCCCTGCTGGCAGAGACGCGGGCCCGCTACAGGGGCCTCAGCGGGCCTCAGCGTGACACTAAGGCCCGGGCCTACAGGTCTGCTTTGCTTATTGTAGTTGTTCTACTATAGTATATGTGATATTATATTTATCTTGTGATATTATGCTTGTATATGTGCATACTGGACGCTTTTGGTATTAGGGTTATATAGTTTTATAAATATATAGTTCATAGTATATGTGATCTTATATTTATATTGTGATATTATGCATGTATATGTGCATACTCGACGCTTTTGGTTTATATAATTACAAGTTATGTCGACACAAAGGACGAACCAAGAGGTGTGATATGCCTTTATTGTAACGGTTTATAATTGTATATAACTGACACGCATACATGCATGTTTACTGCGTGAACTGACATGTTCGACTGCGTGAACTGACATGTTCGACTGCGTGAACTGACATGTTCGACTGCGTGAACTGACACGTTCTACTGCGTGAACTGACATGCGTGAACTGACATGTTCTACTGCGTGAACTGACACGTTCTACAGCGTGAACTGACATGTTCTACTGCGTGAACTGACATGTTCTACTGCGTGAACTGACATGTTCTACTGCGTGAACTGACATGTTCTACTGAGTGAACTGACACGTTCTGCTGCGTGAACTGACACGTTCTACTGCGTGAACTGACACGTTCTACTGCGTGGGGACCGTGCAGGGCGGTGGTCCGGGACCTGGCCCGCGTGGTGGCGCTGGTGGGCCGGCCCGACGAGTCCTTCACGCGCGTGCCCGCGGACTGGCGGCGGCTGCTCGCCTGGGCCGGTCGGCTGCTGGCCCGCTACCGTCGCACCGCCAAGGTTCTTCATCACTAAAACCTATTTTTTTTATTTTATTAAACAATTAATTTTATTAAAATTTTATTAAACTTTAATGGATCATTGATTATATATATTTTTAATAGGCGCTTGGGGAACATTTCTTTACTAATTGTGCATGAAATTTTATCGTGTCATAAATTTGCTCAATTAATTAAGGGTTAAATATTATACGACAAGAAATTTCAGCAAGCGAATAAAAATATTTTTGCATAATGACCAAGGTGTTCGATACTGAAATTTAATATAGCAAAGAATAATTTATTCATTCGTTTGCAGGTGACAGGCTGTCAGTGTGGATGTGGGGAGAGGAAGGAGGAAGACGTCAGCAAGCCTGAGACATTGTCAGCACCTCAACCTCTGTTCCTGACGCGGCAGCAAACACAAGAACAAAGATGGCGTCAGCAAAGACTGGAGGCTGACAAGATGACTGACATCGGGGCCAAGCTTTACTGGACTGACGGTGACTTCAGAAGTGACAGTCGATCTTCGCAAATTGAAGAACAAGGTGAACAAGTTAGGCTTAATGAGAATATCAAACACATTAGATGAACTTAATACTAATTAAGCTTAATGAGAATATCAAACACTTAAGATGAACTTAATGCAAATTAAGCATAATGAGAATATCAAACACATAAGATGAACTTAATACAAATTAAGCTTAATGAGAATAGAAAACGCATAAAATGAACTTAATGTAAAAATATTGTCTCGTTAATATCAACCAATAGTGCTATGGTTAGTCTTACTCTGGTATCTTCTTTACATTAAAAAAGGATTTTACTTTCAAAGCGGAATAATGTGCATTTCATCCAAAACGACCATCTTCTTTACAGTTGTTTATATTTTAAATATCTTCCGCTTTGTCGATTTTATTTTTCGAAATAAAATCAGGAATAAAATAATACTGTAATCTAATATGTTGTACTAATCTGCAGTATACTAATATATACAGTGAACTAAAATTCGTATACTTAAAGTAGAACCATTCATTAAGACAAGTTTGCTTAAAAAATATTTTAATACCTATTATTAGACAGCTAGATAAACTAAACTCTAAAGAACTTTTGAATAAAAATGGCATTCATTTTAACAAAATATATACTGATATACAAATGTTACAATACAAACTTTCCCGTCAGTTGGGTCTTCGGAGTCGGGAAATCGTGCACCGTCCCTCCACGGTTCACCCTCTCCGGTGGAGCCTGAGGGTAACTCCGAGAAGAACGAGGGCACAGCATGTGAGGGGAAATTTCACACGTCCTACACCAGTGTTAATGACGAGGAAATAAGTTATTCAAAGGACGAAGAAGCTCTGGCTTATAAGAAAGCTGCTTTATTTGAGATTATAAACGAAAAGAGTGACTTAGAGGCTCCAGTCACCGGCGGTGAAGTTAACAGGAACAAAAAAGATCGCGGTAGTCCAGGTGTAATTTCTAGAATATTTTGCAGCAAGCTTATGCATAACAATACAGACTCGCATAATAATAATGATTTTCTTAATGACGATGTTGTTTTAGATGCTGAGTTCACCAGAGAAATGGAGTGTCTTTCTTCGAACAGCATTTATGATCATATCGAAGCCTTCACGTTTGAGGATCTCACTTCTCCTCAAAAACACGACGCAAAAAACTCACAGCCAAAACCAAAACAGAAAAACACTGCAAATGTTAATATTAATAGGTTAAGAAAACCTAATTTTCCGGGATACTCGGAAAGTTTCAAGCAGATTCTAGACAAAAGAAACTTGCTTAGCATTCAAAAGAATAAAATTCAGAAGCGCTTGAGTAAGAAGGGCGAACAATTGAACAAAATTGTCCGTAGAACAGAGAGCAGGTTTTTAAAAGATAGAAATAAGATAAACCCGAATCTAACGTACGACAGACGTAACGTACAGAACAGCGTCGTAAATGAGGAGATGGTAGGAGGAGACTTATACGTCAATGTCGTAAAACAGCCTGTGATAGAACGACGTAGCGACCAGACGTTAAACACGTACAAAAGTTACTCAAGTTTAGAAGAAACTGACGTTATTGACGTTAACGTTCACGACGTTGTTAATAATTCAGATCCTCCTGTCCTAGACGTTGAGGACAACAGGACCGTTAAATTGAGGTGCGAGATCCTTACGATGGTATAGAAATAATATTATAAATAAACAATAAATATAAATAAATAAATATTCCCGTTACGTTACTGTATCTATATATACTCATTTTATGCGGTTGGAAGTGAATCTTAACTTAAAATGGGGTTGCAGTCAAGACAAATTCTAAGTATTGTTGAATTGAAAAGGTGATCATCAACTGTTAATCGTCATATTTTGTTCTGATATTTCAGCAAACTTGAACAATGCAAGATGAAGGTCCATTTAAAGCCTGGTATTGAGTGATGACAATTTAAGGGGTTGGAAAAAATAAGGGAAAAACCTTATGATTTGAGATCATAATGTTTGAACATGCATGTTATAAACATAAAAACTTTACACATTTTAAAGTTTATTGTTGTTGATAATTGAGATTGTATGTTTTATAGATATTTTTAGAGAATTTTTGTCGCTGTAACTTTATAAAAAAGCCAAATATCTCTAACTTTCGAAGAGGCCAAATTGTTGGCGCTCGTATGGCAGGCGCTAGTCGCACACTAACAATTTGCAATTTTTATTAATTCACACCACAATAAAATACATTTTGTGGATATTTTGAGCATTTTTCATATCAATTTCAACTAATATAGTGGAAATAAGTGATCGAAACTTCCGTTGCATGTCCTTATGCCAAAGATTCACAAAATTGTGTATGTTTTGGAAAAAGTTTTTGTTGAAACCTTCATCAAATTTATTTATTTAACCTTGCATTTAACTGATAGCTCGGAGAGATATAATACGGATATGATCGTTCCTCTTGTACAGAGAGTTTTAACAGACATACAAGGGTTACTAATGCTCTTTTAGTTCAATTAACTGACAGATCACCTCTTAATTTATAAGCCATTATGTCTTTGTTGATTAGCCATGTAAATTGTAAAACCCACTCGATATAAACAATAATTAAATAAGCATTAGCTTTTAATTGAACCGCCTTTCAAAACAATTAAAAATCCAATGCCTAGTATATATAATGTTCAGTCCAGTAGTCCCATGTATATTGTATTGTACGTGTGAGTGACACGTTCACAGCGCGTCTCATTCTGCATTGTACGTGTCAGTGACACGTTCACTGCAAGTATCGATCATGTTGCTGTCAGCGGAAGTAACCGCATAAGTAATTCCGGCAGTGAATGTTCCAAGAATTTCCTAAATTTTATTGAACCTTGTTGCGTTAAATTGTTTACAGCAATACCTTGTTTATAATTAATTTTATTATTGCCAATTATAATTATTGATGTCGGCTTTTGTTTGGCGGTAGAGAACACGGACCAATATCTGCCATACTTAGCGAGAAACCCGATATGGGCCCGTGACCCGCAGTGGGCTCGCTGCCCCATGTTACCCTATCTATTGTACTGTATGTGTCAGTGATAAGTTCACAGCACGTCTCATTCTGCAGTGTACGTGTCAGTGACACGTTCACAGCAAGTATCGATCATGTTGCTGTCAGCCGATGTAACCGCATAAGTAATTCCGGCAGTGAATGTACCAAGAATTTCCTAAATTGTATTGAACCTTGTTGCGTTAAATTGTTTACAGCAATACCTTGTTTATAATTAATTTTATTATTGCCAATTATAATTATTGATGTCGGCTTTTGTTTACTCGATTATTGCGTGTTTGAATTATGTTGGTTACTTGAAGCCATCACATTTTAGTTCAATTGTTTTAAAGTTTATTTATAGCATATTGTTGTCTGATTAGAATATTCACTGGATATGAGAGATGAAATTTGATAAAAAATTGAGAACAAAACGTCGTGTTGTTAAGTTCAGTTCTGTCAGAAGAACATTCAATTCGAATAAATAACAAATACCTCTAAGTATATTTGTTTTAACATCGTGCTAACATAATAATCCTGTCGAAACATTTAGCATTTATTATGATCATGCTTAACAAATATATTAATTAAGTTATTTTGTCTTGTTTTACATGAAAACTTGCATTACCGCTGTGGCTTGACTGATGGGTGGATGAAACAATGCTCAAACAATGTCAATCTAATGCCACAACAATAGCCACGCAACGAAAAAGCAATGCCTACACAATGCTAACATCATGCGAAAACAATTTCAAAACAATGCTAAAACTATACAATTCCAGGACAACACAAAAAAATACGGCGCACAAAATGAACGTGCAATGCAAATAGAGTAGGTACTCAACTGCAGCTACTGGCATATACGACAAGGCAGCACTGCACTAACACAATATCAACACAACAAGTAAATCGTATATTGACATCAATTATATATAATATTGACATCAATTCAATATGGTTCCGGGGAAGTTTTTCCATGTGAAATAAACCATGATTTGGCTTACTCACTATTATTGTATTGATAAACTTACGCACTATTTGGTTTACGCTATTCTAGAATCTATTAACTATGGAATAACTCACTTTGAATTTGAACGAATGAGGATCGTATAGATAGCGATTGTCTTCTCCAGAATGAATAACCTTGAATAAAAAACGTTAGGACTTATAAAATAACTGGGTAAAGAAATAAAATGCTGGTTTTTAATTACGTAGATTTTTGTCATTTTTTGACAAGAAAGAGAACGTGACGCGGAAAATATTTGTGTCCCTATAATAATTTTCCTGAGAACCGCTCATGGAGTGACAATTTATTTGTATAAGCTTTGAATATTGATTTTGCATATTTAAACTGATCAAAGAATTAAATCAATTCCTGGAGTTGAAATAAAAATTCTGAATCAATAATAAAATGAGAAAAAAGCAGCAGCCACCGAACAGGTTCTAGAATAATCTGGTATTTGTTAATTAAGCGTTACTGGTGAAATTAGGACCGGCGACTGGCACTGTTGGCAAGGTCAGGATCAAGTCTAATTCAAAAACATTGATTAACTATCTTTAAATAAAGTGAAGGTCTTAACACAAAAATCTAGCGTTTGTAACGAAAAGGAAAGGCTGACAAGCATTGAATTATAATCCTGAATAATGATTTTTAAAAAGTTTCGGAACCTTTGCTGTAAAAAAATTCCTCTCATTTATGTGAGCTTAAAAAAGTTACCCAGTAATGTTACATCAGCTGCAATGAACATAGTATATGAAAATGTTATATTATTTAAGATCGAATGATCAGTTCATTTCGTTAAAATAATTGATGTCTAATGCCAATTCCGTTAGCAAAGGTATTTTGAGACGGCAAAAAAGTTGTGAAGCAAAAACCATGTTAGTTGAAGCTTCGGAGCTCGACTTCTGAAGCTCAACCCAATACAAGACGCGACCTCGACAGGCTCCACACAAAAAAATTGTCGCAGCCCAGCCAGAAAACCAGCGAAATATAAAGAACAGCCTTGTCAGCAAACAGCCTAATCTAAAAGCAGCCTTGTAAGCAAACAGCCTAATCTAAAAGCAGCCTTGTCAGCAAACAGCCTAATCTAAAAAAAACATAATCAACATTCATGATGCATTCATCATCATCCGTTTTAGCTTGCTATCATTATGAAAAAATCTAAACTGCAAGAAGTGCTGCCCAGAGAAACAAGAGCGGCGCAAAAAGTCTGTCGTTATTTGGACAATATTACACATCGATTTTTCTGAGAGTTGCACGCCTTGGTTGACACGCTGTCTCTCCACGTAATTAAAGTTGATAGATAAGGTCTGGTCTGTCAGACGCAACTTGTTTAATTAAACTCGCGATACATTGAACGTTAATCTCGCGATCACAGGGATACGGGGAAATATTTTCTCACGTGCTCTATTTTAGTTAATCCTCGACAGCCGATCGGCTGTTTAAACGGTTGTTTTTAATGAATTAATCGACTGTTTAGTCCTCGAACGCCGGTTAATTGATCTAATTAAATAATTTTAAATAACTACTTCGTATAAATTCGAATAATTATTATGGAAAAGGATTTATGTATCGAAAGTCATGAGATTCCCGTGAGAATAAGGAATATGGAAATCGACTGCTCCCAATTTTCATTGGGATAACAGATGAAATTCTTGCTGTTACGAGTTGCGATAAAGATTTAGCTGCAAGTCAGTATCAGTATTACTTTTTGCATTACATTAATTCGGTATTTCGTTGCTGTATTTCATGAGTATACTTAACACCACAAGTGTACTATGTATAGTTTTTAGTCTACTTTTTTTGCAGCCATTTTTTTTTAGTTTGCACAGAGGAACATAACTGCCAAGACAATCCAACAGCTAAGACATGACTGCCATGTTGGGTTTGTAATATATGCTACATCAACATATTTAGTGATATTGCTGTTATGTTGGGTTCTTATGCCCTAGCTTTTTCATCCCAAGAATAATTTGCAACGAGGCGGTTGTTTAAAAGTTAATTTGTTGATCACCAACAATAAATTGGAAGTTCTGACTAAAAACAGCGAATGTTTGAACACATTTTCGTTTAATGGATGAGCTTTAAACAGAAAGTATATAATATGACGCATATACGTACTGAACAAGAACTTTGCTGCACCATACAGGATCATCGGAGTACATACGATCATCGGAGTACATACGATCATCGGAGTACATACTGTCTCTTATACACATCTAGATGTGTATAAGAGACAGAGCCCCAACAGAGAAGGAAGTACTCATTAACTCTAATAGCCCCAACAGAGAAGGAACTACTCATTAACTCTATTAGCCCCAACAGAGAAGGAAGTACTCATTAACTCTAATAGCCCCAACAGAGAAGGAACTACTCATTAACTCTATTAGCCCCAACAGAGAAGGAACTACTCATTAACTCTATTAGCCACCGCAGAGAAGGAAGTCCTCATTAATAATAATTATCCCTAATACGCAACTCACCTCAACCCTCTTGCCTGCGTGCAGTGAATGCCTGCTGGGGGTGTCCCTACGGGAGGCGTTACGGACGCCACAGCTGAGCGTCCGCAAGCAGTTGTTCTGCATGACGGGCTACAACCTTACCATACAACCTGACACCCAGATACGGGGCACTACTGAACACTATAACCTCTACGGTGAGTCGCTTGAAGCACTATACTATTCCTGCGCGTCAGTTGAAATAATTTATGGATGATAAATTAATTATACGGATTAATTAATAAAGGTATATTGGCTAATTGATTGTTCATGTTCAAGGAAGTTGGAATTCATGACGTATTTGGTTCACAGCAATCCTGGAGGTGCGGCATCAGTAAAGATAGAAGTAATTCACGGACGATAAATTAATTTAATAGACGAATTAATTAATGTATAATGGCTAATTGATAATTCATGTTCACGGAAGTTGAAATTCATGATGTATTGGTTCACAGCAATCCTGGAGGTGCGGGCTGTGGGTAAGGGAGAGGTGCAGATCCGCGGAGTTGATTCAGGACTTTTCCTCGCCATGTCCAGGAAAGGCAGACTCTACGGGGAGGTGAATCTTGTATTGCATATACCTAATGCCTAAACAACGTCAATAACACAGTAGATGTAGAACAGCAAGTGCTCAGTAGATGCTACACTTGTCTCACCACACTCCATTGTAAACTTTACAATACTGTACAGAAATATTAGTCGTATGGTCCCATTATGATTATATCATAATAACTACGATGCTATTTCGATCTCAGTAGAAAGTTATCGTTCAGCGTTGTTTCTAAATAGAAGACAGGCGAAATAAGTGCTGTGGTGACTTAAGAGTTAAGTGACATTGACGTTAGATCTACACATAATTCTTTATGCAATATATGAATACTTATAAGCGTCTATTCTGCATACATTTTTTTATATGCATTCACAAGGACCTGGGTTGCCATGCGTAACATTCGTTAATGCGTGGATACTGCACACATAAATTATTTTGATACATAATATTGGAGTAAATTCAACACCGTAGCATATATTGTATACATTGTTGCATTCCGCAATGTCTATAGACTATATACACAAAATATCGGCAGTTTTCAGCACTCACACATCTATGCAATGATATAAAAATGTTTAGAATATATTCATACTTCATTGCTGAATGAAGCCATAAACGGAATAAAAACATAATTTAGTAGATACTCAGCTATCGGAATGTTTCAAAATGTACTTGCAGTACAATAAGTTGATGCTCTGTTATAAATCCAAGATATGACAGTCGGATTCTTACAGGAGTTCCAAATTTATTTTGGTTTATCCCCCAAAATACTTTCTCATTCTCTAAACGAAGAAAATTTGGATAATAGGGTAAACTTATGAAAAGGTGAGAATTCAGTATGCTGATTATCTCCTAACATATCATATGGATGTAGGCGCTGAAGATTGAAGAATAGGCCAGATGTGGCCTGTCGTCAATTATTGTACTTTTCGTGACTTGTTCACAGGAGATCTAAAAACAGGTCCTTTGACAGGATTTTTCCAAACTGAATGATAGTTTGAAATAGCTACGATACTTCCACCAGGTTCGATTTGGTGATAAGCATTTCAAGTCTGCTGATCGATATGGTGCTAGGCATGTCAAGTCTGAACATATATTTTTCCATAGCTTTATCTAGTCTGTTCTAGAACACTTTCATACTCGGAGCGCCAACGATGTAATTAGGGAGGCTGTTCCACATGGCGCTGATTCAAAGCGAGAAGAAATGTTGTTGCGTGGAGAAGTTGCAGTGCAGTTTTTTTTACTTTATAGCCGTGGCCCATGGTGTTGGATCTTGTTTCAAATTCTAGTAATCCTTCGGGGACCTTGTATAAAGCATGAGTATACTTGTATACTTCAATGAGGTCCCCACGCAGACGTCGATAACTGAGGCTTGGTAGCTTCATAATCTTTAATCTTTCTTCATAAGACTTGCCGTTCAAGCCTGGTCAATTATCATTGTTGCGCTATCCACTAAAATTTTGTCCTTTTCAAGTTTCGTTTTTATGATTCTAAATTTGAATAGGATGCAATACAAATTGTACATTCAACATTTCCTGTGGCTTATCAAATGAATTATAACAACACAAAAAATATTTTTAATTATATTTTTTTAATGAGTGTTGGATGAAGTTTGGTTAAGGATAAAGAGAATAACTCATAAAAAACTCTGAGCTGACTTAAACGCCAGAAATTACTTTCTTGGCTAAATAAGTTTCGAGTGCATGGTAGTTGATCGAAATAATGATTATGAATGCTATTTACAAGTTTCAAAAGGTAGGAGAAAGTCTTCATGCGTATTTTGTCGCAAACATTCTTACATTTTGTTGACGGTGCAATTAAAAATGAAGGGAAAAAAGAAGGGAAATACGACATACCTTCGCCTCGTTTATTAGTTAAGATACAATTTATTTTGAATATTCATCGAGGCAGTTCATCGACAGTGGACTCTGATAGAATTATTTTGAAATTATTTTTGTTTTCCCTCACAAACTCTGGAACATAATTACGAAAGGTGGCCTCTAAAAATTGATGATCAGTGCAATGCATATAATTTTATGTAAAAAATGAAGGAAAACATAATTTATTAAAAACAAAGGACATTTCCGCTGCTGTTTATCAAGTGATTCCATTTTTCCTCCAGCCTGACCAGTACAAAGAGAACACCGTGTTCGTAGAGACGCTCTCTGGCGCCTTCTACAACTACCTGTCCCGAAAGTATGCTCACCACGGATGGTACGCCGCCATCAAGAAGAGTGGACGACCCAAGCGCGCCAAGAAGACCGAGTACGGTCAGCGGGCTGTCCAGTTCCTCCCTAGACACCCTTATCCTTTAGGGTAAATTTAGGTAGCATTCATATCATTTAGGGTAAATTTAGGCAGCATTCTCGTCCTTTAGGGTAAATTTAGGCAGCATTCTTATCGTCTAAGGTAAATTTAGGTAGCATTCTCATCCTTTAGGTAAATTTAGGCAGCATTCCCATCCTTTAGGGTAAATTTACGCAGCATTCTTTTTAGGCAGCATTCTCATCCTTTAGGGTAAATTTAGGTAGCATTGTCATCCTTTAGGGTAAATTTAGGCAGCATTCTTATAGTTTAGGGTATATTTAGGCAGCATTCTTATCGTCTAGGGTAAATTTAGGTAGCATTCTTATCCTTTAGGGTAAATTTAGGTAGCATTCTCATCCTTTAGGGTAAATTTAGGCAGCATTCTCATCCTTTAGGGTAAATCTAGGAAGCATTCATATCCTTTAGGGTAAATTTAGGCAGCATTCTTATCGTCTAAGGTGAATTTAGGTTGTATTCTTTTCGTTTATTAACGATAATGAGAAGTGCTCAGGTATTAAAACAATGTTGATATTAGGTAGACAGACTATTTCTGTGAGGATGATATGAAGTATGCAAATGACGTGAAGCATACGCAAAATTTTGCAATAGATGTAATGACGATGCGAATTGCACTGTCAATGAAAGTACGATCGGTACTAATGCACAATTGGCATAACGATGATACAAAGTATAATTTATGAAGAAGGATATGCGGCTGTTCTCATGGTACATGCGGCCCTAAACCTAATTACTGTTACCTGTTAAGTAAAATAATGTAGAAAAGTTAATATCTCGTTAATGAGAATGGCTTGTTACTGGGGTCAGCCAGACTTGCTCACTATCTACAACTATATCACATTTACCGAACATTGCGGGCCGTGTCGAAGTGGGTCCATATCTCGAGTTCAAGGCACATTTTTGTAAACGTAAACGGTGAATGGAGCCGTTCAACAGTGGAATTTGAGGACTCAATATTATTAGGTAATATTGTATTCGGTTAGGCATACCGATAAAGAAGAATTTTCTGAATCATTATTCAAGAAATTTGAACACTACATCAATGTGTCATATCTCACACAATATGTGTCGTGTTCGAGATAGCTGAAGTGTCTCATGACACATGTAGCTGAAGTGTCTCAAGTTTGAAACGCTCAAGGAAAGGACCACATAATACAGTAGACATCTTGTTGATTTTAACTTGTGTCACAAAATAGTTTTAGCGCTCTTCCACTGACGAATTTTTTTTGCGAAAGTACGACTAGGGCCAAAATGTTATTGTTTGTAAAATTAAGTGATTCAAAGTTTCATTTATTTACACATAACTGAGGTATTAATATCATTGCAAGACTCGGTCCCATTGATCATTCTGCTGGTTGATATGTTAAAGTAAACTTCAGGTAGAAATATCTTTATTACATTAAAATGTATGCATATTACAGCTATGTTTTAAGTTACCGCTATTTTCGTTCATTAACTCATGTCTTTGTCGCTGATTTTAATTTATATTTTTATAACCCAAATAAAGGTGTTGTCGTGTTTACAGTTTCATTATCAGCAGTCACTTCTCTGCTGCATCCAATCTATTGCGTAAGTTAACCCATTTATCTATAACATGCAACCAGTTAATTGTTGCCGAAAAATTTCTTTCTGATTTTTTCTCCGATTCTGTATTTTTCAGAATATCGTTTTCACTGTTGTGATAGAAAAAGGTGCCTTCAGTTTCTAGAAGCCATAAGTACGATTTGATTTTAGTCGTCGGACTGTAACAGGTAGTGTAACAGGTATCCGGGCGACTGTAATAGGTTCAGTTACAGTTCGAGTCGCCCGGCTACCTATTACACTATAACCTGTTACAGTCGCCCGGCTACCTGCCTGCTACCTCTTCATCACTAGCAGTCTCAATGTAAATAGTCAAAGAAATCACAAAGCCAGATATAACAGCATCTCAGGCAATGTTCCCGAAAAAAGATATTTATTAAGAGCACAGCGATTGCTTTTTATTTGCCAGCTCAGAGCGGCTCTTGAAAATCAAGCTCGCAGGTTGGGCAAGTCTCTCATGAATGTCGCCGCCGCCGCCGCGGTTGTCCTTGCACACGAAGGCAGCAGGAGGCCTACCTAGCAGCCAGGCCTCCTGATATCTCTTGCGCAATGCAGAATTTCCACACAAACAGGCGCCTGTGTGAGCTGCCCATGTGTGTACATTTTCACGATAATGTATACTGTAGGTTTAGCATGTACATAAAGTTATGCTACAATGTTCCACAACTATGTACTAAAAGTTAGTGAATGGCTAATATCTTAGTAAGATTGTAAAATATCATCTCAATTGAGATAAAAAGACAATATTGCAGAAGTAATATCAAAGTTACCCTATGTTGAAATTTCAGTCACTTATATTTTCCCGCATTGAAATATGACGAAAAAGTATAACAGGTATAACAAACGAGAACTGGAACTAATGAGAAGGTCAAATTCTATTATAAACATCTGAAACATGATATTGCAATGACTCTTTTACTGCTGAAATAACATGATGTTGAAAGAGCTCAATCAGTGTTAAAAAATAATGTATAAAGCGCCCCATTACTGTTGAAACATGTTAATATGGCTCTTCTGCTGAAAGGGTAGGAAGACTTCCATTTAGCAAAGAAAATAATCGGCAGCGCGCCAAGTGAGAAGTAGGAAAACGCACTCAATGCAAATGTTGTTGTGATACTGCGAGCGATGTGGTGGAGTGATCGCTGTTCTCGGTCGTGAGTTAGTCGTCCTGTCAACATGCATCGTCCTGTCAACCTGAATCATCCTGTCAACCTGAATCGTCCTGTCAACCTGAATCGTCCTGTCAACCTGGATCGTTCTGTCAACCTGAATCGTCCTGTCAACCTGAATCGTTCTGTCAACCGTAATCGTCCTGTCAACCGTAATCGTGCAGTCAACCGTAATCGTCCTGTCAACCTGAATGGTCCTGTCAACCTAAATCGTCAACCTGAATCGTCCTGTCAACATGCATCGTCCTGTCAGCCTGAACCGTCCTGTCAACCTGAATCGTCCTGTCAACCTGAATCGTCCTGTCAACTTTACGATGCTCATCGCGTTAACTCGAAAATAACAAAAATTTCCTGCCTGTTTAATTGTTCAGTATTTCTCGACGCACAATGAGATGGCGACGATTGAAGTCTGTTCCTACAACGGGAGGAATTTTTTCATCAATGAAGAATCTCATTATTTACCAGTAAAGTTTTTGTTACACTTAATGAATGACTGTAGCTTCATTAATAAATATTAAGATAATTATATATAATGATAAATAAATGACTGTAGCTAGTAATATATGACTGTAGCTAGTAATAAATGACTGTAGCTAGTAATAAATGACTGTAGCTGGTTTCTGTAAAGTGATCAATTCATCGCCACCAGAAGCACAATGACCTGGAGCTGCACGATGGATATCATTCGATATCCTGGACCCTAAACGATAGTTAATTTAAGCATGCGAATTTGAAGTTGATAGAGACAAGTTTTATGATATACTACCTCTACAGTGCCGGAAATGGCTATACGACCACCCAGTTTTCTCCAAATATTTTTTCTTGTACAAAAAACTATGGAATTCTTATTATACGAGGTTAAACTACGTTTAAAAACGGTTACAACGCTTTGGGTCCAATCATCCAATCATTTTTTTTTTCAGGGCCTAACTTGTCAGGATGACCCACTGAAGACCAAAAAGGACATCGATATTTAGACAAAAGCCCCCTCATTTCCCTGAGAGCTGCCGTGTTTACCTCATCGCGGTAAAGTTCACGCATATAATCTACATGTCTTCTATCGTACAAAATTAGCACGCATAATATGACAGAAATAAATTAACTCAATATGCAATCGATTTTTCTGCTAAATATACGTTTTTTTGCGAATCATTAATGTGTAGGAATCTATAATCAATACCTGCAAACAAGGAGAACTGTGAACGTTGAGAAGTTGATCGCTGCACAATAGCAGGCGCTCGTTAATGTCGACTTAACGATTGTGATTATATGGTTGATTATAACACATCAATTTAAATACACTGATATACTTTCAATAGAATAATGACCTCCATGATTAGGTGGTCAAGGCGAAGGTGGTTATACAGGAAGTATCGGAAGATAAATACAAGGTTCTACTATCCTATACCGACCGGTCACGATAAGCACCGTTATTCAATAATTGAGGGCTACCGATTTCAAATCGTTTGTCGAATACAAAATAATCATCAATGCTCTAATTATTTGTAGTAAACTTCCGTCGTAGTTTCAAGTCATTATTGACCCCTTTGGTAAACATATTAAATAGGAACTTAATCCATGTAATCCTTAATCCACTTAATCCCCTCAATCCTTAATCCATCACCCCATGTAGAGTCGATAACACAGACATCGCAGTGAGAATCAGGCTCAACATCTACGGAGAATTGTTATGATGGGAATTAATTATAGTTTGAAAGAAAGCCATGTGGCCTGAATCAATCTGTAGACGCTATTTGTATCTATACAATAAAAATAAATAAAACGCCATCGCTGCCAACATAAAAACTGAAGATTGACTGCAAACATTAAGATCATGAATGATGAGCGATAACATTAATTTGAACTGATAAGGTTGGCACGAACGTGTAGACGAAACGACATTGCCAAGTGTCAATCATTTGATGCAATCATTTGGTGGAGATTGTCATGCAATCAGATTGTCGCTACGCGTGCCATTACTCTTACGTGACGACTGTCACGCAATCTGATTGTCGCCACGAGTAGAAATGCAATTTCTTGGAAAAAATCCGAATCTGATTGTCGTATCACGGCTGGGACTGTTATGTCAGGATAAAGTTATTGCGCAAGTTCAAGTAAGACTATCATTAGAGATATGGGCATGCTTCGTCGTATACGTTGTATGTGCGATCACTTTTAGGTGCGATACTCCTATACCCAAGTGTGAAGTAAAGAATTGTCATTATCTAATCTTAGGTCTCTTGACTTAATATTTTACATAGAAATATGGGATTTTTTATCTGCAATGCATTTCGATGCGCAATTAGAA